AACACAGAGTTACAACTTACCAAAGAAAATTGGTCAAAGGGATTGCCTTCACTTGTCATTGATAAGTTGTGACTCTGTGCTTACAATGGCGGCTCTCACTGACGACGCTGGCGCAACGTTTGAGAATGTACCCAGCCAATGGTCCAATGCTAGAAATCACGAATACTATGGCAGAGGACACGGGACTAGGTACGTTCAACAAGGTCTTCCCTACGCTCCGACCAATTTGCGAAAAAAAGGTCGATCCAACACTAAGAAATACTACTTCGGTATATTTATCCCTTAGGCTTGGTTCAAAATAATATCAGACGAATGAGGAGTGCATTTTTAGGTGGTGAAAATATGGAGAACTGTAGCTAAGTGGATTGATAAAAAATTGGGATAATAAGGAGGGTTTTCAAGGAAATCATGATACCTTCAGCTGTGTCCACATTTAGAGAGAAATTTGACTAATCATTCAGATCACGTCATCTTCAAATAAGGATGACTCAATTGGTCTCCTTTGATGTATAACATGAATTATCCAATTTACTACATACATCATTAAACGCGTAAATTCACAGTATATGATAAACACGTGCGGGTAAGTCGCTTACTTTTCTTTGGCTTGACTTGGTCATATTCACAGTAAGTGGGTTCCGCGAGTAGAAGTAGGTCATAAATTGGTTGTAATGATTATACCTTTCCCTGATGATGTCCACCATACTAAGAAGGAGAGCTTAGCACTTTTTTTTTAATCAAACGAACCAGGACTTTTCAGGAAACCCGAATAACATTTAGTCGAGAAAAGTCCGCCTCTGTCTTGTGATGAGATCACATTTCGAACCTATTCACACGTTTTCGGCCTAAGTAGGAGTGAGAAATTGGGAGGGATTTCCTGAAATCCTCCATCTTTGTCCCAAATTCTTTTGTCGTATAGAGATATGTATAACATCAGTTACCGCGCTCTGCTTTTGATTCGATCTCATTCGCTCTACGGTTTAGGATCAAGCCAAACCCACTCATGCTAATTCCGCCATGCTCTAGCATCTACCTGTCGACGTCAAGGTCAACATTTTTAGTAAGTAGCCTGTTAATAGCTAAAGAACGAATAAAAAAAAATAGCTTAATCTATTTTTCGTTCGGAAGTAAGGTTTCGAGACTACATATCATATAGCTTAATATATAATTTATAACAATAGGGCCGCCGAGTTCCAACTAGCTAATAAGTCGCGTGAAAACAAGTCACCCCGGACCAGTGTACCTTTCCAAGTCGCGTTTGCCTCCCATTGAATCGGATACTACGACTGCCGTCAACGCATTTCTCGTCTAAGGTCAGCGAATTCGAGTCACCTAGTGGCCATTGCATTGTAAAAGTGGCCTGACAGACATTTTTGGCCAGAACCAATGAAAGAGGGAAAAATTGGCTTAGCGGAGAAGTGCATAGAGTGGCCACTTCGTCACTTAGTTGAAAGTTTATGATGTCGATACTCGGAGTCCCGATTTGTCCTAGAACCTATTCCATTGATAGGTGAGATTGACCCGTCGAGAGAGAATATTTAATATACTGTTCTTTGATTGGACATCTCTTACTATCACAAACCTTCAATTAACGTAACCACCGCAAGGGGGCTTAATGATCAGCCTGACAAATAAGCTATCGCTGTTGCTAGATAAGGCTCAAAGCGTCGGGCGCCTCGGCTTGGCTCTATAAGGTTAGGGTATGATTGGGTTGTTTTCACTCTATGCCAAATTTCAGCGTTTTACTTCTAAGGGCCTGTCAAGTGACTCAACGTAGTTTCTAGGACTTTAAGATTTGAAGGGACGGAATGACTAAGCCCGCCGAGCATTTGTGCGTTTACTCTCTGCTGGCACTATTTGTCGTTTGCGTGGGCTATTCCGGATTTGGGTAGACTGGATATAAGTGAAACCCCCAGCTTCATCATAGGGTTGCAGAGAGTATAGTTTACTCGAGCCAAATCACTGACTAGTGCTTTTCTTGGACCATCTATCCTAACTTTTAGCCATCTCTCCTACCTTAGGAAATCTGGTTCAGGCCAGCTAAGGACTCCCATCAAGAAAAGACCTGTCCCACCTTTGGCAACCTTGGATTCCAGTTTGGGTTCTGAGTCTATCAACATGACGCCACCTCGCATTGACTCTTCCAAGCCCGCTGGTCATGTGGCAATTGTCACAACTTCGGCCAAATCGCCAATCGACACATCTTGTTTACTGCCCAGCCAGCCAACCGCTGCCGAAGTTGGTGGCCGCCTACGACTGGACGATTTTCTCGGAGCTCCCACCGGTCGACCAGTCATCGTTCAAAAACAGAATATTGAAACTCGAGAACTTGGCTCGTTGGACGCTGAGACTCGGCTTTGTCTCAAGCCTTCTGTGAAAGTGAGCAAGATAATAACTCAAAAGGAGGATTCTGGGTCGACTAACGCCGCAAATGATGATGATGTGCAAGCAGACTTGAAAGGTATCAAGCTCAACTCAATGGGCAGGCCAATGCGTAAATCGGCCTGCCAATTCTCCGCACGCCGCTTGATGCGCCGAGGTCGCCTTCCTGCCTCCTTAGCTCCTGGCTCACCTGTCTCGGCTAGCGCTGAGACTCCGGCTCCTTTAGTTTCACCTCCTGGTGGCACTCGTGGAGCTGCCTCATCTCTTTCTAGTTCAGATTATGAATCTGAGTCCGAGTCCAACGATGACGATGATGATGAGGGAGAGGCCGACGCGTCAGGGTCATCTAGCTTTGAAACTAGAACTGGGTCAGGGGAAAGCAAATCCGTTTGCTTTCTTACCAAGCTACAGGTTTTGGCGGATGAAGATTCTCAGGAATCTGACCCAGACTATGTGGCACCACTGAAGCATCCCGGAACCAAGGTGAGATCCACTAAGTCAGTGGTTGTTTCGCACTTCCATAAGGAGCCTAGGTTGGACCATTTATCCAATCCGCAAACTGAGCCGGATTTATTGACTTATAAAATTCTAAAATTATCTTGTTCTATTTGCCTTATTATAATTTGTGTTTTAGGTTTCCGGCAATATGGCTAATTTACAAGCTAGTAGGTATTTTTTATTTTACTGACTGCATTTGCTTCAGGCACTGTTAATAGTTCAAGCTTAAACTTTTATCCTTTGTTGGGTTGACATGATCTCGTTTTGCAACTTGTGTTGGCAAGAAGACCATGTGGAGCATATCCTATTCTGTGCCTTATTATAGTATTCTTAATAATTTCAGCATCCGACCGCCGATTTGGTACATTCCCAGACATGTAGTCATATTAGCTTATAGGAATTGTATCAAAAGTTGATTTCCGCTATCAGCCTTAACTACCACAAATATTTGAGGTTATTGGAAGTGTGCTGGCTGCC